TATGTATGTATGTATGTATGTATGTATGTATGTATGTATGTATGTATGTATGTATGTATGTATGTATGTATGTATGTATGTATGTATGTATGTATGTATGTATGTATGTATGTATGTATGTATGTATGTATGTATGTATGTATGTATGTATGTATGTATGTATGTATGTATGTATGTATGTATGTATATGTGTGTATGAGCGCGCATTTTCTGCGTGTAGATGTATTTATTTCTCGTTAACTTCACTTTTTTTTACAAGTTACGCAAATAATTGCAAAAAACATACCCTGTTTCCTAGTATCACCACGGCTGCCGGATCGCATCGCGGCGCGTGTGACTTGATTCCAATTTACGTTCTACGTCTAATTGGGGCTTGGTAAACGCGGCGTAGCGGTGTCGTGAGGATTGATAGGTTTTTGGCTGTTTCTTCGTGTGAGTGCGGTGGCGGGTGCTGCTGGGTGTGTCCGATGTTCGTTCCCTTCGTTCGGAATGAGAGAGCGTAGAATTCTCATTTTCCTTTTATCGCGTGTCTCCTCGCGCGCGTACAACGGCGATCGGCCGGAGGAAAATACGATTCCGCGAAATGTCAACTCCGCGCTGCTCTCTCGCTGCTTTCCCGTGCGAGAGATGAATTAGGAATTAGAAAATAGCACGTAAACACGGATCCGATCGCGTGCTCGTCGTTTGTTCGCTTATCCGAGATTCGCGGCGCGAGATGTCGACGGACAGTGACGCGATCGATCCATCGAATTCGCGATTTGCGATGCTTCTAAATTTAAGGCAGCGAGACACGATCAATTGGCCGAATAAGATACGAAAGCGATGAGAAAAGGATTTGAGAACGACAAATTAGATATATGCTTATTTAAACGCCAGAGTTTGACAGGAAAATCTTCATTTGTGTGTCCTAAATTTTAATTATTCCTGCTTCTTCATTCTTAGAACTATTATTATAAAGTTTATCCTGTTCTTTATTCTTCATCTTATTCTTACACTTGATCGTGTCTCCGTCCCGAAATCTAGTTAAGTTCGCTCGATCGAGAAGCCGCGGAAATCCGTTTGCATCCAGATAAGTATATATGCATCCCAAACTATCTAGAGTATCGATTTTCATTTGGCAACCAACCTGTGTAATCGTATGACAATCTTCGCTTAGTTGATGCAAATGAATTTACGCGGTGGATTGGACGCTCGAATCGATGCGAGAATCGCGCATCCGATTCTCGGACGCGGTGCATTCTAACGCCTGGAATTTAGCATGTCGCTTCCCAGAATTCGGAACATTAATTACGAGCATCGAATTCGTACTCAGCATTACAATCACGTCATGTAAAAATAAATTCAAAGCTGATCTTCTCCTCACAGATTACACTATTATTCATATTATTATTTCTCCTTAGAGCTAAGAATATTCTTTTTTTTTTTAGTTAAGTCTCATTTATACTTCATAGCGAGATGCACACTACTTCGGTTGTAGCAAAAACTTTGTTTGGATAAAATAGTTGTATTTTTTTTGTTTGTTACAATAGCCGTTACCTTCGTATTTATATATTTATATATGTATATTATTTATATTTATATATGTATCTATATCGTTATACCGTTATGGTATTTATTATTAGGGTAGGTTGTGTTTCTTGACACTCTCTCATAGTACTGTTAGACTTTAAAAAGCTTAGATCGTAATGATATTATCAATTGGTGCTTGCGTAAAAGCAGCTTTCCAGTATACGTGTCTGCTAATGTATGTGCGTATATGTTTATGTATATGTGTTACGTGTCGCCGTGTACCTTTGTATGTATATATGCACGTGAAAGGAGATTCGCGCGTTGCGCGCATGTATCTATAAGTATTCGTATTAGCGATCTGGCACCATCTTTTTTTCTCAATTTCTATCTTCGGGCGTCCGCTCAGCGATTTCTTTCAAATGGACATCGTCGAGCTCGTCGCTCGGGGGTAATCTCGTCCCTCACTTTCTCTCCCTTTTTCTCCCGCTCTTTGAAATTTGCACGCCCCACGAGAGCGGAGAACACGTTCGAATAATTCCACGGAAGAGTCGAACCATCCGCGATCTACGGCTCGCGCGAGACATTCAAAAGCAAAAAGCATCTCGGATGGAACTGGAATATCCCTCGGTATCGAAAATCGATGCGGGAGTGCAAAGGATATATCCCTCGGATCCCACGCTGCCACGGCGACGTGACAAAGATTTTCCCTACGATCCATCACCCAATTTCCACGCCGTCTCTCGGTCGATCGCGAGAGACGACGTAATTGTAGAACGAGCGCGATCCAGTTGAAAGAAAACGTGGCAAGTTCGCTGTTTGAGAACGAGCCTGCGCTACTCTCGTGTGATTACGGTCTCGATGGAGAATCACTCGGAGGGATGGAAACCCTCCGACTCAATCTACGCGATCGAATCGACGTATCTATCCGCGGACAAGGAGAATCGTAGACGAGCGTCTAATCCATTTCGATCCGATCCGATCCATTCATCTCGTAGCCGTATTTGGCACACGTACGTCACACGGTCCCCGTGCACGTGTACTATAGAGCCCTGGCGATCATCCGTGAGAAGCGAAATGTCCGCTTGCGGAGGCGATAATTTCATCCCGCGAACGTGCAAAGATAGTTAGGCACGGATCGGCACGGAGGCTGATCGCCCTTTCTAATTATGTTTACACGCATGCTCGTGAACGAAGGATTCAGGATGAACATCTCTACACACGGATGTTTCCCACAGAGAGTATTAATTCGAATTGGAGCAGCCAAACTCACGAGAACAAAACACGCAATTGTTACTTTGCTAGAAAGACAGCACTTACAGCTATGTATACTTTATATCATATTTTCCAAATGTAAATTGAAGTCTCTGAGATGTGCCACATTATTATTATTATTGAGCTCTATTTAAATACTAGCAAATTCGATAATGTATTGTGACAATAATTCACATATTGTACAATAATTCTAATCTATGAGAAATTAACCATTCTATATAAAAAGAATTTTATCTTAAATAAAAAATATGCTTTATAATATATTGCATAAAGTTCTTTCTTCTTAGACACATCTCGTAGTGTATTTTTGAATATTGTTTTGTTCTATCTTTCAAAGAGAATGCTATCAAAAACTTTAAAAGAAAGAGATTTGTATATGAATGATTAATGAGACTATGGCTGCTCATTTCCATTTCGCATCCGTGCACGAGTTGGAGTGTACGAACGCGGCAGAGATTTATCTGCAATGTTGCTGATAATATCATGATGAACTTTCGCGCATCCTATAAATATCCGCGAGTCTCCTGTCGTTAAGTCAACTACGTCCGACGTCGTTAATAGCTTCCCCCTTTTTCATATATATATGTATATATTATATAAATTTAACCTTCTAAAAATGACAAGAATATATGTGTATGTTTACGTTACCGTAGTGTATAAGTTATGTATATATACCATAAATAATTGTTATCGTTATTATTTCATCTTTGTCATTTTAGCATTATTTGGTTTATCGTTATATTTATATATATATATATATATATATATATATATATATATATATAA